GGTGCTTTGTCTCTGTGGCAATATATTGGAAAACCAGGAGGTCCCATACAGCGAGGCGGAGCGAGTGTAGGGTTACTTCCCTCAGCACCCACCACCAGCAGTTGGTGCTCAGTCGGGATAACGAATTGCCTATAAAAGCCGTGGGGTCAACAGGGAGACTCACACAGCTCCCACCTCAGCGCCACCCTCACTAGTACTTGGCTCGTTTGAAACCCCTCCGCGCAGGCTCTGCTGCCAGCCAGCTCCCAACCTCACGTCTTCGCACCTCCGGAGGGACACAGCCCTATCACACCTACCTTCAGCTGCTGCATGGTGGCAGCATCCTGGCTTTCCTGCACCGCACCCTGACTTTTCAGCATTGGCTCTACAAAAGTAAAAAAAATAAACAATTTACAAAAATGGGAAAGGCCATATCAGCCTGACAGCACATGCCTACTGACAATTCTTTTCCTTGCACACTCCATTTACACACTATATATAAGATCTTCACATGTTGTGGACACAACAACAGGCTGGGCAAGCCCTGCAGGGCAGCAGCTGTGGGGTGGTTGCACACCTGGGACCAGCACTGCTCTCTTGCCCCGCTCTGTGCCAGTCTGTCCTCCTCCACACACCCCAGCAGCACAGCAAGACCAAGGTGGGAGGAAAAGCTCCCACAGACCCCAGAAGCCAGAGTCTGGCCACAGGAGTCAGCCCCAAGCCCGAGAGGCAGGAGTCAGCATGATGAAAGGCCAAGCAAAAGGGGGAGATGTGGCTGTAACATTGGGGCTCCCCCGAAGTCCCAGGCAGCACCAGGTAAGCAGGAGTGAGGGCTGAAGAGGAGAGCTCGGTGCCGAGCCTGCTGACCCAGCCAGGATCTCCCCTGCACTGGTCTTTTGGGATCCCAGTGCCCACTGAGGGCTGAGAAGTGCTCACGGGGCCATGGGTGCCACGGGGCTGCAGGCACAAGGACAGACAAGAGGTTGATGCCTCTTCCAAACCTTGCCAACGCTCCCTGGGACATCCCAGCTGGGAAGACGCACCTCTGCTCTGCTTCAGCCGCCGCATGGCCACCTTCAGGTGCTTGGTCCTGCCCAGGTCCTCTCCGAGGAGATAGTACCAGCCACTGACCTCCTGCATGAGAGGAAAGAAGCTGTCAGTGCAGGGGCAGATACTTATTCCCAGTTTAAATCTACCGAGAGGACAGAGCTGACCTCAGTGACCCCTCACCGCTCTTTCAAGAAGCTGCTGCCATCTCCCATTGCTCCCTGAGCAGCAGCAGAAATCAGAGAAACCAAGAACCCTGGACCAAGCCCAGGAGTCAGAGGGAGTTACAAGAATCATCTTCCCAGAGGAAGGGGCTCATTTTAAAATGATTTAAATACACGAGGAGAAAACTAAGGAAACGGCGGGGGAGCACACCCAGCAGCATCATGCATCACCCAGGAGACAGGGTCAGCTCATCTCAGCCCCCGCCGAGGTTCCAGGTGGACCACACGGCCCCACCATCCTCCTCCCAGCCCTGTGAGAGTCCAGTGCTGTGCGTGGGTGCTAAACACATGAACACTTCACCCTCTCTGCACGCAATGACACTCTGCGAAACTCACTGCAAAATCGGAGAAGGAAGCAAATATGACCAGACCAAGATGTCCCTCCTAGGAATAGCTGCAGTTTAGAGCTGCTCCACCTAATTATCTTCACTGGTATAAAAGAAGCTGCATCTTACTTGGCCGAATTTCAGAGGAGGCCACGCTCAAGCTACCTCTTGCCCTCTGCTAAGGTCATTGCCACAAATAGCTCCTTTTTAACCTCTTGCTAGGGAGTAAATTTCCACACCTCAGATGATGTACTAACACTTTCATGAAACCCTCGCAGCTTGTCAGGATGCTCTGATGTACAGAAGACATGATCAAAGCTGTCCAGGGATGAAATCCCTAATTCCTGGCAGCCAGGATCAAACAATTCCCTGTTTCAGTGGGCTGGCAGGAGTCACCTGCAGCAGCAGCCTTGCAGGTTTCTGTAGGAAGGCAAAGCCAGCTGATGTGAAAGCTGTATTTCCAAGCGGCAGCCAGGCTGGGGCAGCAGCACTGTGACCAAACCCGCAGCACTGGGGACACGATTCTGGCACAGAGACAGCCTGGCAGCACTGAGACCTCTGCACCTGCCCTCTGCCCAGCACCATCTCGGCTGCCGAAGCCCCGGCTGCTCAGTGCAGGGAATCAAGCAGGCTCCTCCTCAAAGGAGCGTGTCCCCACCATCGCACCCTCTCAGCAACCACCCAGCCTGGCGTGGTGTGACACATGTGACATGTGCCAGGCTGAGCAAGACTCCCATCTCCTGTCCCCAGGCAGCACTCACTGGGGCCACCTCTGCACCCTCAACTGCTGCTAGTCTCTGTGTCCTTTCAGTCCCCTGCCCTAGGATCCCTCCTCTAACAGCCTCCCCATCCCTGCCTCCAGCAAGCACATCAGCACCACTCCGAGCTGGGAATGGGACCAGGGAAGTCCCCAGGCACTGTTAAAGCATCTTTGTCCCGCAGTGGAATAAGCCTGCTCCTGTCCCAAGGCTGCACTACATCCACCCACTGACCTCTGAGAGTCAGGCCCAGCCCCACACGCTGCGCCTCGGCACGGAGGTACCTTGTCCAGGGTCAGGAGGGACTTCACGCCAAAGCTCATGCAGCCGATCAGTTCACTCTGTCTACAGGAGAGGAGGAGACTGTCAGCACAGGCTTGTTCCAAACTCCCTAGGGACCAGCTTCCCACATGCACCCCTTTGCAGGGACCCCACAAACAACCCTGCCCACGCTGGGAGCCAGGCAGTGCCCAGAACATGCCTCCCTCTCCACACTTTGAGCAAGCACTGGGTAACCGCACAACTCAGCTGCACCAGGAGGGGCTGGGCTGAAGTCCTGGTCACCTCCAACCTGATGCTGGCAGGAGCTTGGTCAAGGAGGCAGAAGCCACTTGCCTGAGCAGGCGGCAGAGCCTTCGAGGTGCCAGACCCCTTACTGCTGGGCTTTCCTCCTCACTGCATCGCTCCCAGAGGAAGGAAGGTGCCCAGTCCATACCCTGGCTCCAGTCTCACTTGGCTTTAGCCAGCAGTGCAGGCATGAGCGCCTGTAGGAGTCCGAAACGCTGGTCCTGCTGATGGCTACCCAGCAGCAGCCATGTCAACAAGAAAGCAGCGAGGGCAGGATTTCCTCCCTGCCAGCCTGCATGGAGCGTGCTGCTCACCACCACGGGCTGCCCATGAGAACGACCCTGGCTCAGGGAACCCGCCAGCAGGTCCCAGCCCCATCGCTCGGCTCCCTCACACTTCACCGACCCTCAGCCTTCGTGTAGAGCAGCCCTGATGTCAGGGCCAGCCCTCAAGGCACTGGAAGAGCTCATGTGGGGTGGCAGGAGCAGAGGGCTGGTTTGCTGCCACGCCAGCTCCATCTGACAGAGACTGCATGGCAGGCTGGCAGCCCCTTACCTGGAATTTCTCTCTCGGTTCCAGACTGTGACCAGGAGACGTTTCTGCTCATGTTCCTCCTGCACTGGGCTGTAAGAAGCAGAAGGGACAGCCCATGAGCACTGACCTTCCCCAGGAATGCTCAGCAAGGGCTGCTCTCCCAGCCAGACACTCCTCATTCCGAGCCAGGTCACATCCTGCAGCATCACCCCAGATGATAATCTCCTCCAATGAGCCACCGTTGCACTAAGTCACTCGTTCCAGACAGACAACTGCAACGGGATGTGACCTCTCCAGGGACACTGCTCAGGTGTATTTAAGGGGCAAAATAATCTCACGGAAAGACACACATCCAACAACAAAGAGTCCAGCCACGTTTCATGCTCCAAAGCAACCATCCTGTGCCAGATTAAAAGCTGCACGGACACAGATTAAATGCTGCGTGACACACACTGGTTAGCTGGCAACGGCAAGCTCTACCAAAACACGAGCTGTACAGCTCCTTTCCCATGCAGAGACATGCTGTAGCTACAGAAAATCCTTTTACCTTCCTCATTCATACAGATGCCCATACTACTGCAGGCGTAAGGTCTAGGAAATGGAGCGTGTTTGCCCAACTCCTGCCCAGCAAGAAAGTCCAACCGCGCAGGAGTGCCGCTGCCATGCTGTGTGCTGACAGCTTTGTGAGCCTCCGCGGAGCTCTGCCCAAAAGTTCAAGGCATTTCAGCTATAAAAAAACCAGCAGAATAATGTCTGTCACTCCTCATCTCAGCAGCAGACCTGCTCATGCATGATGCCTGTTTATTATAGATCATAATGTAAAAGCAAACACGGGGTCTTGGCTTCTTGAGGGTTATCCCGGGACAGCAGCCACGTGGCTCCCCCACTGCTCTGTGTGAACACAGACAGGTCAGAGCTACCTCTGTCCTGTCATACTCACAAAAAAAAGCACTCGTGGAAGACAGGATTTTTGCTGTCTGGCACAGTCTTCGTCTTTTGCCTGCATTTCCAGTCAGCATCTGGCACGATCGACATCTTTACAAAGGAAAACAAGGAGCATGTTAGCACTCTCAAAGCAAGCACTGGCACACAGCTGCCAGCTCTGCCACCGCAGCGGCAGGAGACCGGCACGGCCACTTTTATGGATGGCTAAGCCTCAAAGAGCCAGCTGAGCCTGTGCTAACAGGGGATTTAGATCACTTGACCCTATGCGTGTCAAGTAATGGCATTACAAAAGTCCTTGAGACAGGGGAGGGAAGCAAAACAGCAGAAAATCAAGGACTGATGTACACAGATGTTGCTGGCCCATCTCTGACTTGCAGCCACCTCATAAGGCAGATGTCTCCCACACTGTGCACACTGCGGTGGGAGCAGCCTGCCAAGGTGACCTCCAGGAATCCCCGGAGCCACACTGTGCTGGTCAAATACTTATCCCCAGCAGCTCCTGGGCAACAAACGGTTGACACAGCCCCTGGCAGGGTCCTGTCCTCTGCTTTTCTGGCTCCATGCAGACACCGTAACAACAAAACCCATGAGCCCTCCAGCACCAGGCAAGAAACCAGTCACTATCCCGCATGCTGTGGATGCTTGGCCAGAGCGGGACAGAGGAGGAATGGGAAGGGACAGGCAGCCCAGAGCACGCGTGGAGAAGCCAACCACAAAACCCCAAGAAAGCACAAAACTCCCCAAACAAAGCCTGAGGAGAACCCACCTTCACGTAGGAGTCGCATGTCCGGTACTCCTTTCCCATCAGACCTTTTGCTTCCATGACTGGAAGGAAATAAAATTGTCATTCCTTAAAGCAGCAGGGAAAGCATCTTCCTACGCCACAGCTCTCTGCTCCACGGGGTGCTCCATTCTCGAGGGGCCAAACCCATCTCCTACCCCAATGGAATCCTGCACACACCTCCCTGGCAGCCTGGTCTCTCTGAGCACCCAGAAACAGGTGAAGGGTTTTACTGCATTTTTTTTTTCTTTAATACACCCATGCTATAAATATAAGCGTCTGTGGGCGAGGTTGGCAGCAGCTGCAGTTCAGCATCCGGATGGCAAATTGCGTTTTGTTTGCCTGACTTCACACAGCTCTGGGCTCCCTGCCCCGGAGCCAAACGTAACATCAAGTTAAATATCAGCGTCCTGATGGCAGCTTCATCCGCAGGGACTCAGCACCGCGCTGCTGCCGACCATTGGGAACCCTGAGCTTCCCAGCCAAGTGGCTGGAGGCAATAGATGCACAGCAGAGCCTGGATAGGCATGGACGGGCTGTCAGAAGGAGGCTAAGCTTCCTCCTAACAAGCCCAGCAAGGCAGCAGTGACTTTGCCTTTGTCACAGACACAATATATGCTCCTAATAAACACAGTCAGCTCGACAGAAACCCCGGTGCACAAGGGGGAAGGGGTTCTGCAGGATCCCCTGGTGCTTCAACGAAGCAGTTTGCAAGGTTCCTCCAGGACAGGCTGCACCAAGAGCTACCTCTTCCAGCCAGACCTGCTCCGAGTTTAAAGACACTGAGGTGGAGAATGAAAAAGACAGATCACCCTGCATGACCCAGTCTCCTCCTGCGCACACCGAGTGCCCTGAGCATCTGGCACGTGCAGGGCGATATTGGGTCCCAGACTATGAGGCTCTCCTTTGCCTCTCTGCTGGACCATTTCCCTCTTCCCAGACTCTTTTGGAGACGACATCAAAATGAGACAGAGACTCACACCCTGCTCACGTTGTGGTTGCTCTGGATGGAGGGATTTGGGGTAAAGCCTGTGCCAGACCCTCAGAACCACACACATCTTACAGAGAGAGAAAAAAAAAATAAACAAACCCATATTTTCCTGCTGTTGTTTCTTTACAAAGGTTGCCTACGCAGCCAGAAAAAGGGGAGCAAGCACTGGTGGCTGCCAAGTGGAGGAGAACTGGGGCTGCATGTGGCTCAGCTGGTCTCCACAGCCCCACTAGGCTCAATCCATCCTCTGCCCCCACCCCATTACACCCAGGCAGAGGTGGGGCTCAGCTGTAAGGTGAGATGTTGCTCAGGAGAAAGTCTTTTCTACCCCTCCTGCACAGGTCTCTCGGATGGAGGTGCTTTCTCCCCAAAGGTTTGCAACCCAGGAGAGCACTGGATGTCCCAGGGCCCTGTTTTCCTTTCATTAGGCTGAGTCCAGGGCAGCAACGAGCCTGCTGTTCACAGGGAGGGAATTTTTACTGTGACTATTTCAAACTCCTGACATTTTCCTTGTTTCTTTAACCATTTACTTATCATGAAGCCCTGACAAGCCTTTGGTAGAAAGATCTCTGTGCCAGGAGACCAGGACACAAACATCCTTCACTGCAGCAGCAATCTAAGGAGCCCTCAGTGTCTCCGAACAGGTTTTCCCTAAAGAAAGGAGCTAGTTCTGACACCCTCATTGCCCTTTCTAACAAGTATCATCGAATCCCAGTGCCACCGTTCCCTGGGACCTGCCTCATGGCTGCAACGGAGACAGGTTTTGAGATGATGTGTTGCTCTCCTGCACTGGTGGCCAAGTCTGAGAGTCCCCAGAGGAAGAAAAGCATCTCTTCTCCCCACTGGGACATGCCATGACTTGAGGAACAGCAACTCCAGCCTGGATCAGGTGAAATACTTCTGAAGAAATATTGCTGGTGTTAAAATAACACACCATTTGGAGATAACGGAACCATTTGGAAACCCTGGAAAATCTGACAAATGTTTTTGGCCAACATAAAAGACATTTCAAAAGACACAAAGCGTTTCAGGTCTTCTTCTTTGAATTACATTTGCCTTTTTTTCCTCTTCACATAGAGTTAAAGAAAAAAAAATGTACGAGTGGATGCAAAACACATCGTGCTCACTCAGAAATTTTGGTTTGGCCTCTAAATCAAAGAGCCCGGAGCTGTACCACTGTAG